TCTTTTTCTTTTTTTCAGAAATCCTCCTTTCTATAAATAAAAATTATAAAACACCATCATTTTTATTACTCTTATGGATCCTTATTGCTCCCCCTCTTTACCTATCACCCCTAAATATCTTCATCGATACTTATGATAGTTTTTATATGTGAGCCCCTCTATCCTTCATTTGTCATCTTTATTGTCCTTGACGAGGTTATGGGTAAGAACGAAAAAAATGAGATATACGAATAAATAATAATAATAATAATAATAAAATAATTATTCAAGTTAGGGAGGTGAGGGTAATAATATAAGATAAAGATAATAGGTAGAAAGTGATAAGACTGATGAGCAAATACATAGACGATCAAGTGTGGAGCCGATTCTCGATAGTCCTATTTTTGTCCTCTTTTACTATCATATTTTGTGCAAGAGAAGAGACAGTGGCTCAGTAACCGAATAAATACATCTTTTTCTTCTTTCCTTCGTTAATTAAACTTGAGAGATAACCATATATCGTAGAATAAATATAATGTGATTTTCATGATGGTCATATATTTCTTATTTGGTTTTCATATAATATTTCAAGCTAAGTAGTTGAGATAATTATGAGAAAAATTTTATTTTTTTCGTGAATTTGATTCACTCTTTTTTTTCCAATTGATTCAAAATTAATGGTTGTCATTACAAGGGAGGAATCATAACCAAACCTTCTCTCGATTTTGGTTTAGTTTAGAATTATGAAACTATTAATCGATTTGGCATTTGAGTAGTTTATTGAGAAAAGATTAATTTAGAAATGAGGGTGTTGGTGCGAGAGTCAATGGATTTTTCCTCAGGAGACAACACTTCGGAGGTGGGGGAGAAGTTGAAGGAGGTGACGTATCTTCTTTTGTGGGTGGGATGCCTCGATGAGGACCAATTGCTCTAATCTCTCTCCTTTTTATCCCCTTTTTTTCTATTATTTATTAGGTAAATTAACAAAAAAAAATCTAATTTTAATTATTATTTTTTTACAGAAATCCTCTTTTCTATAAATAAAATTCATAAAACACCCTCATATTTATTGCTCTCATAGATTTTTATTGCTCCCCCTCTTTACCTATCATCCCTGAATATCTTCGTCGGTACTTATGATAGTTTTCATATATGAGCCCCTTTATCCTTCGTTTGTCATCTTCATTGTCCTGGGCAAAACAAAAAGAATGAGATATATGAATAAAAAAATAATAATAATAATAGAAAAAAATAATTTAAGTTAGGGAGGTGAGGGTAATAATATAAGGTAAAGATAATAGGTAGAAAGTGACGATGCTCATGAGCAAAGGCATAGGCGATCAAGTGTGGAGCCGATTCTCGATGGTCCTATTTTGTCCTCTTCCACTACCATAGATATGATGATAAAAAAAAAAGACCTTGATACCCTATTCATTGACGATGTTATTATGTTAGGACAAAATTAAGATACGTCAATAGAAAAGAGAGACGAGGCGAGAGCATTGTGCAAGAGAAGAGATAGTGGCTCAGTAACCGAATAAAAACATATTTTTATTCTTTCCTTTGTTAATTAAACTTGAGAGATAACAATAAACCGTAGAATAAATGCGATGTGATTTTCATGATGATCATATATTTCTTATTTGGTTTTCATATAATATTTCAAGCTAAGTAGTTGAGATAATTATGAGAAAAATTTTATTTTTTTCATGAATTTGATTCACTTTTTTTTTCCAATTGATTCAAAATTAATGGTTGTCATTCCAAGGGAGGAATCATAACCAAACCTTCTCTCGATTTTGGTTTAGTTTAGAATTATGAAACTATTAATCGATTTGGTATTTGAGTAGTTTATTGAGAAAAGATTAATTTAGAAATGAGAGTGTTGTTGTGGATTTTTCCTCGGGAGACAACACTTCCAAGGTGGGGGAGAAGTTGAAGGAGGTGACATCTCTTCTTTTGTGGGTGGGATGCCCCGATGAGGACCAATTGCTCTAATCTCTCTCCTTTTTATCCCCTTTTTTCTATTATTTATTAGGTAAATTAACAAAAAAAAATCTAATTTTAATTTTTTTTTTCAGAAATCCTCCTTTCTATAAATAAAATTCATAAAACACCCTCATATTTATTGCTCTTACATATCTTTATTGCTCCCCCTCTTTACCTATCACCCCTGAATATCTTCGTCGGTGCTTATGATAGTTTTCATATATGAGCCCCTCTATCCTTCGTTTGTCATCTTCATTGTCCTGGACAAAACGAAAAGAATGAGATATATGAATAAAATAATAATAATAATAATAATAATAATAATAATAATAATAATAATTTAAGTTAGGGAGGTGAGGGTAATAATATAAGGTAAAGATAATAGGTAGAAAGTGACGATGCTCATGAGCAAAGGCATAGGCGATCAAGTGTGGAGCCGATTCTCGACAGTCCTATTTTATCCTCTTCCACTACCATAGATATGATGATAAAAAAATAAAAAAAAATAAAAAGATCTTGATACCCTATTCCTTGACGATGTTATTGTGTTAGGACAAAATTAAGATACGTCATTAGAAAAGAGAGACGAGGCGAGAGCATTGTGCAAGAGAAGAGATAATGGCTCAGTAACCGAATAAAAACATATTTTTATTCTTTCCTTTGTCAATTAAACTTGAGAGATAACAAATAAACCGTAGAATAAATGCGATGTGATTTTCATGATGATCATATATTTCTTATTTGGTTTTCATATAATATTTCAAGCTAAGTAGTTGAGATAATTATGAGAAAATTTTTATTTTTTTCATAAATTTGATTCACTTTTTTTTTTCCAATTGATTCAAAATTAATGGTTGTCATTCCAAGGGAGGAATCATAACCAAACCTTCTCTCGATTTTGGTTTAGTTTAGAATTATGAAACTATTAATCGATTTGACATTTGAGTAGTTTATTGAGAAAAGATTAATTTAAAAATGAGGGTGTTGTAGTGGATTTTTCCTCGGGAGACAACACTTCGAAGGTGGGGGAGAAGTTGAAGGAGGTGACATCTCTTCTTTTGTGGGTGGGATGCCCTGATGAGGACCAATTGCTCTAATCTCTCTCCTTTTTATCCCCTTTTTTTCTATTATTTATTAGGTAAATTAAAAAAAAAATCTAATTTTAAATTTTTTTTACAGAAATCTTCCTTTTTATAAATAAAATCCATAAAACACCCTCATTTTTATTACTCTTACATATCCTTATTGCTCCCCCTCTTTACCTATCACCCCTGAATATCATCGTCGGTACTTATGATAGTTTTCATATATGAGCCCTTCTATCCTTTGTTTGTCATCTTCATTGTCCTGGGCAAAACGAAAAGAATGAGATATATGAATACAATAATAATAATAATAGAAAAAAAATAATTTAAGTTAGGACGACGAGGGTAATAATATAAGATAAAGATAATAGGTAGAAAGTGACGAGGCTCATGAGCAAAGGCATAGGCGATCAAATGTGGAGCCGATTCTCGACGGTCCTATTTTGTCCTCTTCCACTACCATAGATATGATGATAAAAAAAAAAAAGATCTTGATACCCTATCCATTGACGATGTTATTATGTTAGGACAAAATTAAGATACGTCATTAGAAAAGAGAGACGAAGCGAGAACATTGTGCAAGAGAAGAAAAGAGAGACGAGACGAGAGCATTGTGCAAGAGAAGAGATACTGGCTCATAATCAGTAATCGAATAAAAACATATTTTTATTCTTTCCTTTGTTAATTAAACTTGAGATATAACAATAAACCGTAGAATAAATGCGATGTAATTTTCTTGATGATCATATATTTCTTATTTGGTTTTCATATAATATTTCAAGCTAAGTAGTTGAGATAATTATCAGAAAAATTTTATTTTTTTCATGAATTTGATTCACTTTTTTTTTCCAATTGATTCAAAATTAATGGTTGTCAATCCAAGGGAGAAATCATAACCAAACCTTCTCTCGATTTTGGTTTAGTTTAGAATTATAAAACTATTAATAGATTTGGCATTTGAATAGTTTATTGAGAAAAGATTAAATATAGAGTCCTAACTCAATAGAAGAAGAAAGTGGAAA